TGCGATAATTTGCGTGATCCCTTATTAAATCCGAGTGGAGTCAGCTCTAACAAAGATAGGGGAAGCTCCGCTAGCCTTGAATCCGTGCACTCTAGACATATGTCCCTCTTCTATTATCCGCCTGTACGACTTGCAATTGGAAGGCACGGAGTATAGCTCAATCTAAGTCCACGCAGCCGTCCATCGACATAGAGAGAACCGGGCGGTCATCCTTCGAGCGCTATAGAGATTTTTGAATTCTGACATGGAAGAGGCTCGTGCACTCTGGACATGCTGTTGCTTTTTGCCAGGGGCCTGCAATAGAATCCAAAAGATCGTACAAGCTCGTCGTCTCTGTCCTCTAGAACACAACTCGATCATCCCGACGATCTTTTGTTCTGCTTATTTCGACCGAAGAGCCCCGGCATAGCACTACGAGCTGAGACAACACCTTCTCAATAGCTGCTTTTTGGCCTGGATCGACAGCGTTCGTGAAGAATAACGTGCGAAGACCATCGTGGTAGACTCGGAGTGTGCTTCCGAGGTACCATAGTGTCTCAAAGATGAACAGGAATACTCGCAAGAGTAAATGCGACCGAACAATTGTTATTCGCGAAGAGAACAACCCCAGTACAGCCACCGACTTAGACAAGGCCATTTCCCAGCTTGTACAGAGCATTCGAAGTGGTTCAGAAGGACGGAAGAGTAGCAAATTATGCAACGCTGTCGACTGTCGCTTCCAGTACAAAGTCGAACGCGCTTCTACGGTCGCTTGTTCGAGGTTGTGGGAACAGCCGTATTTCCGCGTTGAATCGACGCAACGATGCAGTCATTGCAGCTCGTTTAGTACTTCTGCAGAATCTCTAAAAGAATCTACCAAGACTCTACGCGTGCGTTTGCCGCCGACAAGACCGTCGCATTAGCCATAATGGCCAAGAGTCCTAGCAACAGTTGGACGGCGGTGGGTCCATGTCCAAGTTTCGAATATTCCCATCTGCAAAGCGGAAACGCCATAGCGTAGTGGGATGCCAATCGAGTATCACCTCGCGAGACAAGAGGAAGTCATACCAAGAGAGTTTCAGACAAGACGTGACCGGCTGAAAGCTTCTTCGAGACCTTCACTCCAATAGCATCATAGAAAGCAGCATTCCACACGTCTCTCTGAATCTGAAAGAACATTTCCAGTACCTCGAGGACCAGACATGGATATATTCGTTTCCAAGGATATGTCGTTGCGCGGGGCGGTTGTTAGGCTAGAGACCGATTGTTCAGTTGGTCTTCAGCTTAGACCTCGCCTGTTCTTGTTGGAATCTCTGAATAGATCAGGACTGTGAGACAGTGCAGGTCAGTCGATCCACCTTGCACTCGCAGAAGAATGCAACTATGCACAGGCCCTTTTCCTTCGAACTAGTGAAAACACTCTATTAACTTAAAGTTCTGTCTCAAAGACCTATTTAGCTGAAAAGCTCGTCTCAAGCAAAAACAGTGTAAGGCCGAGTTTTGAATTACTTTTGGCTGGCGTACAATTCTCTGAAGCCCTTGCGCGTCGAAGAGTGAAGCGCTTGTGCGAGAACCTATAGGAAAGTGAGGTTGTGTATAGTAGCGAGCCTCTCTTCTGACGTTGTAATGCGCAGGCCGTCCTCTAAATGTTGACCAACTAGACGGATGCAAAGGAAGCCCAGGAAGATTTCTAGCTAATTGGGTAAGTTGCGAGCCCAATGCTGAGAAGACTTGATCAGTATGGCTTACGTGCTCGTCAAGCGTCCGGCTGTAGATTACCACATCGTCGATATAGGCTTTTGCAAGACCCACAGATCGCCAGCTCGACGCATATCTCGACAACGGGACCAAATCTTGACAGATCTTGCCCCTTCAATATTCTTGACGCCACGTTAGCCCAGAAAAGACAATAATAGCAGCGTCCCCAATTGCTTACACGAGCAAAAGAGTGTGTAAACCTGAAAAGTTTATGTCTTGTATGTCGGTAATTTCGCAGCCTTTGCGTTATTTATTGATCGTACGCCACACTATATCGTACGCCACACGACAAAAGACTGGAAAATCGAACAGTGCAGTCGTGCGGGCGGTTTGAGTGGCAAGCCTGACATGGCGAAGCGTGTGTGAAGAGACGCCATCGAGTGTATTAAGCAAAGGAGCAGGTTCGTGTACTTGGGATGGCCGACGTCGTCACGTTGCGTTGTTTACTTCGTCCATAATGTTCTTTCTTGCTTATGGAGCTTAGGCGCAATATCCGCCTTAGGCGCCATCCAGCTAATCCTTCGGGGAACAGGCGACCACGCCTCTTCGGGCAGGGTAGCTTGCTTGCTGTGATCTTGCAACAGCCATGCAGACTTGTGCAATACCGGCTGCGAGCCTGTGTGCTATGTTTCCGTCGCTATAAATCCTGGTTTTGTACGAAGTTTGTCTCGGCGGCAACGTCTCCCGGTAGCAGCTCTTGTTCAAAGTCAGTTCCATGTGCGCTTGTGCGGACTGAGATTTGCCGCAAGAATGCTTGTCGACGAGATAAATTTGCCTGCTGAAAGAACGACGCGAAGAGTAATTGCGAGACAGGACGCTCACGGCGCCCTTGGTTCGACAAGTGCCGATTCTGTCTGACAGCAATTTCAGAAAAGATTCAGATCTTTTTGAATCTGTTGTAGGCTTAATTCGGAGAGCGCAGACTAGCTGCTGAATTATAAGCACCATGTTGTCGTCTGGTCTGAGGTCATTAGACCGAGATTGCAATGTACTCGGTGTAGCTCGGAAGGTGCCTAAGACAACGCCGAGTAAAATGGGAACCAGAGCAATATCGACTATACAAACTTAACGACGAGCTTCTTTAACTTCCGGAAAATGACGGCGGTGCTTTGCAGCGAATGATAACGCTTAGACTTCCTGTCCGACCTCTTGAAAGAATGACAAGAGCACGATAGCGCATCCCTTGATTCTCTGTGACTTCGTCACGCCTTGATCGCAAAGGCGCAGCGATCGCCGCTTGATCGCGTTGTCACCGTCTTCAGCGGCACCACAGAGCTGCGAAAAGTTTGCAAGACCTTCGAGTGTCCGGGCAATCGATATGTCCGCCAATAAGGGGAGTAGACGATAGGCAGGGAACGCAAAAGCATTAGCATCGTTGCCACTCGACAAGTTCAAGGCCAGTATTCGTAAGCATAAGGTTCGTGGTACAGCTGATTTCTCTGTTATCGGATATGTAGAGTGTAATCCGAGGTGAGTGGGGGTCAGGAAAGAGGATGCTCTTTATTGCGACAGGTGCTGCAACTTGTATAGCTTCCGGGAACGGACAGGGCCGACAAGAGCCACTGACGCCAGAGCGACTTTTCAATGCGTATAGGTCCCAGGTCGCTTCCACATTTGAGACGTACTTATCGTTCGAGATAATTCCTCATATTCTTCGATCAAGTTTTGGGAGACTTCCGTGTTCGACATGCTGCCGGCGTAGTAGCCGATCGCCCTTCCTGACGAGCACGTTTTTCGGGCCACTTAGCAGGTACTAATAGAGAGCTCGAAGCCGGTATACGTTCGAAACGGCGCTCGTAGAGGAGCATGGCAGGGAGACCCTGTCAAGAGCTCGAATAACAACGTGAGTGTAATGCGCGTTTATTCCAATCTGTCGCTTCGAGATGGAACAAAAGAGCTACTCGAACGGATATCGGTCGCACAGCTGCCACCATGAAGTAGGTAAAACATACCTCGATGCGTGAATGGAGCTATATAGAAGAAGCTAAGTGTCCGACCACGAGGAGATTAAGGCTGCATATATTCGACTCTCGACCGTGAATGGGTTGTGGGTCCGGGTCGCGTTTGCAGGACATTTCGTCCAATACCTCTTCCACAAGTTTGAGAATGTGGAAAAGATTTCAAAAAGGAGGAACCGTGCCGAAAATATTTGGAGCGACGGGCCTGTTATAGTCTGCTCACGGCAATATAACTTGACATCCGGACGGCACATAGGAGTAATGCGCATGGACGAGAAGACCACACGCATGCCCCAGCAGACGAGCAACCAGGTGTTGTTTCCAGCCCGATGAAGCATCATCTTATTGGGCTTTTGTTCGGAAAGAGGAGTCAAGCCTCCGCTGGGTCGGGCATAACTGACGGCGGTATAGACTAAGAATACGCATATTCATAGCAAAAGTCTCTCTCTCGCAACGTCGAAATAAGCAGTCATGAATTTGCAGCAATATGCACGTTGCTCAATCGTCTTCGCTGCATTCGCGCGCCCAAGCAGATAAGCAACCCGGAGTTGTTTGCAGCTCGGAAAGTATATTTCATTGGGTATTCGTTGGGGAAGAGGACATGTCAAGCTTCCGCCGGCTCGAGCATGACTGACGTCTTGTAACGCACCGGACCACTTAACATCGATGGCGCTGTCGACAACATTCTGTCTGTGCCTGCCACATGCCTGTCCAGTTGAGAGTGGCAGTCGAATGAGTTATTGGTGCCTGAAGCAAAGAGTCTACAAGATAACGATCGGCGGCAACTTTAGCACTACAATTTGTTAGACAAAGGACTCTACACACCTCACCGCATATAGTGCTCTTTATATAGTAGAACATAAAAGGAGACATATACTCTAGTAGATACCTAAGTACCTCTCTGAACCATTACATTCGTAGATGATAGTCAGGTGTGTCTATGCCCCCAGCTAATAGGAAAAGACAAAATAGAGTAATCCCACCTTACTAGCGAGGTAGCTTTAGTCTTATGTCCTATAGTTAGTAATAGTATAAATTTATAGAGGTTCTTTATCGTAGTCGGCTATATGTATACAGGGGACGTGGAGAACAATAGCGTTACTAACGTTATATCACGGAGCTGCGGTGATTTCGGGAGCTGTCCGTGGCCATAGTGGTAAGAGGACAAAAGGAGGAGGCATAACCCGGCGTAAGCAATGGAAGCGGGGATTACTAATGCTTCAGCCGAGGCGCCCGCGACGTAATTCCTTCTAAGCACGGGTCATGCCTCAGCGGAGGCATCTATACCTTACCATCGACACAACAATGGACTTCTCTTGCTATCGGGGTGCGAGCCAAGAGCTTACAGAGCTATTGGCCACCTTGCCGGCTCCTGCCGAGCAATCCATCGAAGATTTCAAGCGTACGACGAACCAAGGCCGCGAACATGTCTCACGAGAGCAAATGGAGATACTCTCCCCTCAGATCCGTGTACAAGATCATTCAATACCAGCTCGCGACGGTCAAGAGATCGAAGCAAGAAGCTACCGGTCAGCTTCGACCCCAGAAGACAAGCGTCTCCCAATGTACATCCATTTCCATGGTGGAGGCTTTCTCTTGGGCACACTGTCTTCTGAAGACGCGGCATGTGCTCGCGCCGCACTTGCAACGGATGTCGTCGTTCTGAACGTCTGTTACCGTCACACCCCAGAATGGACGTACCCAACAGCATGGCACGATTCAGAAGATGCATTCGAGTGGTCGTTTGCCAACGCTCACTTGTTCGGTGGAGACCCCAACCAAATCGTCATAGGAGGGATCTCGGCGGGCGGGCAGCTCACGGCGGCGTTAGTACAGACCAAGAAGCGTGAACACGCGCCATCGTATCGGAGCATCAAAGGGCAAGTCCTCATGATCCCGTGTCTGGCGCATCCCGATTGCTACGCGCCACAGCTGGCGCAGATGAAGAGCCCTGAGATCTCTTCCTACCGCGAGAACGAATTCGCGCCCATCCTGCCACTGAGTCGGATGCGAATGTTCTGCGGCCTGCTGTTTCCAGACGGGCCACCAAGTTTGGAGGACAGGAAGTTCAATGTCGGAAATGCCCCGCCGGATGAAGTACAAGGCCTCCCACCCGCGACATTCGGCATAGCCGGCCTGGACCCGCTGCGGGACGAAGCTATCCTGTATGCGAAGCTCTTGGCGGAGAATGGCGTGGCCACGAACGTGCATCTGTTCAAGGGCGTGCCGCATGGATTCAGGAGGTTTGGGGGCAAGTTAACCGCGAGCGCACATTGGGATCAAGTGCTGCACGATGGCATCAGGTGGGCACTAAACAATCCATCTCCGGGCGGTCTTTTCAACGTCACCGTACATGGATAAAATATGAGCGTCTTTTCCTCTGCTTCCGGGGATCCATTGTTATTTGTCTTCCCGAGAATCCTACCAAAACACTCGCGTTCCTTATGCCGAGACTTTAGACAGATAGCCAAAAATGGACCTCAGGCTGAAAGCTTTGCCGGGCATTTCCATGCGCATCGTCCTTCTCAGATCTTTACCGCCGGAAAGAAAGCATCACATTTAGCAAAGCACTGCAAGGTTCAATATCAAACCGTCGTAATTATTAACAATATGAGACACTCGCGACGCGCTTCAGAAGAACATGTCGAGACGACAGATGGCCGAGTCAAATCGTGAAGCGCGCGAGGGACAAGTAGACGAGCCCCTCTCCCGTCGGTCCCGGGCTCCCGTCGGGGCTCCCGTCGATGCTCCGATCGATGCTCCCGTTGATGCTCCCGGTGATGCTGCAACTCCGCTCCCTCGGCAATGTCGAACCTCGCGTGGCTGGACTGTGGAGTCCCCATGGAGGCCTTCCGGACTTCACTCGGACCGCCAACGACACCGTCAAGACTGTCTACACTCAACATCCCCATGCGAGCCCAAAGCTACTAGCAGTCCGTCAAGATGCCAACCAAATCATCCCTTCCGGATGTCAATGTTCCAGACCTTGACCTATGGGCTTTTCTGTTCGAGCGAAAGGATCGCAACTTTTCGGACGATCAAGGTATAGCCCATCTCATCGCGGCAGAAATTTGTGGCTGACGTCTGGCAGTGATATACCGAGCCTGCACTGGCGACAGGAAGTATACCTTTGCTGAAGTCAAACGAGCGGCGACAGCTTTCGGCGAGGGTCTGCGAGATGCGTGGGAATGGGAGAAGAACGATGTACTCAACATCTATGCGCCGAATGATGTCGATGTGGGGCCCGTGATCTTTGGGACCTTCTTCGCTGGAGGAATCGTGAGCCCTGCGAATCCGGGCTACACCCCGGAGGAACTTGCCTATCAACTGAACAATTCTGGAAGCAAAGCGATCGTAACGACAAAGGCTTTCCTTCCAGCCGCTCAAAAAGCCGCGGCAAAGGCCAACATCCCCGAATCAAGGATCATCTTGCTAGGAGAAGCAAGAGATCAATCCCGCAAATTCAAGCACTGGACCGACATCCGCAAGACGAGCCTAGAGAATCGATACCGACGTCGCAAGGCCAACCCATCGAAAGACCTGGCCTTCTTAGTCTATTCAAGCGGTACGACGGGCCTGCCGAAGGGTGTAATGCTGTCACACACGAACGTCGTCTCCGATCTTTGCTTGATCAATGGCTCAGTTGGAAACTCGTACCAATCCGGAAGAGACAAGATTCTCGGCGTGCTCCCTTTCTTTCACATATACGGCCTCACCGGACTCGTTCATCAACCGCTTCACCGTGGAATTGAATTGGTGGTAATGCCGTCCTTCGACCTTAAGCTCTTTCTCGAAAGCATACAAACGCACCGAATAACCTTCATCTACGTCGCACCTCCGGTGATAGTCCGCTTGGCCCGAGATGAAATGGTGAAAGACTATGACCTCAGCAGCGTCAAAATGATGACGTCCGGAGCAGCGCCACTCACGCGCGAGCTCGTCGATACTGTCTACAACAAGTACAAGATCAAAATCAACCAAGCCTACGGATTATCGGAAACATCTCCCATGACACATACCCAGCCCTGGGAGGAATGGTATTCTTCAGTGGGCAGCGTAGGGAAGATTTTCCCTAATATGACGGCGAAATACATGTCCGAGGACGGAACAGAAGTGCCAGCTGGAGAAGCAGGAGAGTTGTGGATGGCTGGACCAAACATCTTTCAAGGATACTGGAAGAACGAGCAGGCAACTCGAGAAGCAGTAGTCGAGGCCGACGGATTACGATATTTCAAAACGGGAGATGTCGGCTTTCAGGACGAGAAGCACAACTTCTACATTACAGATCGAGTGAAGGAGCTCATCAAATATAAGGGCTGGCAAGTGGCTCCCGCCGAACTGGAAGGGAAGCTCATGGACCATCCCCTCGTGAACGACATCGCCGTCATTGGAGTCGAAGACACAGAACAACATACCGAAGTGCCTCGCGCGTACATTGTGCACGCTGAGCGAAAAGACGCGGGCGAATCAGAAACCGGTGTGCCAAGTAAGGAGACTGCCGCAGATGCCGAGAACATCATCAAGTGGACGGCGGAGAGAGTCGCGAACCACAAGAGACTGCGCGGTGGAGTGAGATTCATCGATGAGATCCCGAAGAGCGCGAGTGGCAAGATTTTGAGACGATTATTGAAGGAGAGGGTCAAGAAAGAGAGTGGGCCGGTCAAAGCGAAGCTGTAGTTGTCGTATATAGTTGTACATATCCGTTCGCAGTCACTTCCCTGCAAGGACGACGCTCCTCTTGCTCTATCAGACCGTTCTCGCCACTCGGCCAGCGTGGCCCGCCAACTCTGTATGAGGTTGAACTTGGCTTCGCCCTCTGTCAAACAACTTGCGTCAAAGCTGTTGCCAAGCCACATGACCTGCTTCGTGTCCTTTGTCTGAGTGGAGAATTGGTCAAGTTGCCATCATCGGGATCCCCTACCGCAATTAAATTGACCCAGTAATGACTCATCTGCCGCTCAATCTCATCATCTGTCGCATTCCGGGTGACGTTCGAACAGTCCGCGTAGGCGATTTTGTTAGACGGATACCACAGTTCCGCGCAGTGCTAAGCACCAGCGGCTGTTTTGGCTCCATATTTGAAGCCACAGAGATACTACCTGCGTGGAAAGGTCACCACTGCCGCCCTCAAACCTTTCCCCAAATATCCGAACGTAGACCGTGTACTCTTCCGTCCCAGCAGGACTGCTGACATTGCTCGACAGTACCCAAACGTAGGATGTCTAGCAGTCGTCACTTTAACTCGTTTCCCCCTCAATTGGAGATGCCCAAATCAGAGTAGACTGCGGCCCAAACCCCGTAGCGTCTCTCATACCTAACGATGATTCAGGCGTCTGAGGAGCTTTCCATCGGAGATTGCCGATAGAAGGCGCGGCGCAGGGGGTGCCTTTGTAGACGGCGATGCCAGAGCGGATATGCGAGAGTGCCTTAAACGAAACGAATCCACCAGTCGTGTTGACTTCAGGGCCAGCAATGTCGCAGAGCGACGAATGGGAAGCCTTTGCGGCGCTCGTCGAAGGACGAAGGAAGACATCTTGAGATGAGTGAAGATCTTGGTGCTCAGAGACACTCGAGAGCCTGGCCATGACGGTTTGGTAGGTTTTTTGTGGAAACCCATCGTCGTGATCCGTGGCCGCGCCATCGGACATGGAGTGCCCCTACCACAGACCAAGTGTCCAGCACGTGAAGGGGTCGCTGTCCGTACCGCTGACATTCAGCGCTGATGATCCGCTCTTCATCTTGATGAGCCTCGTCCGGATGCTCAGCCAGACCAGACGGGTTTTCATGCCGCACCAGAACCCGATTTTGTTGGAGCAAGTACGTCTCGGCACGTTCGCCTGGGTTACCCTACGGATATGAATTGCGCAGTCACATACGTAGAAATTGGAACAACACCGTAAAAAATGATCGTGACGTATCTCGTATTCAAAGTGAGGTCCGAAGTACGATCATTCTTGGAAAAGTCGGCCAGAGGTGAATGCTTTGTATCCACGATCAGCGTTTGTCAGTAGTGTCGGCTGTGACCAAACTCGACAGGCGCTCCTTATTCCGAGTAATCCCTCTACTACGATCTTGTGCCTGAGTCTTCCGCCTTCTCCACGTAAGAGCGATTCAGCCAGCTCATCAAACTGCCTGCAGAACAAACGGAATCCCTCTCAGCATTTCCGCAAGTGACATCTTGCGACTCCCGTCGAAGTCCCTCGCTTCTTCCCAGCCTGTCATGCTCTCCGACTGCGACCAAGGGCACCATAGCCACCCTTCCGTGAGCGCAGACGAATGGGAACGTACAGTGGCTCAACTTCTCCACCAGGTCTTGACACTGCTCGATAGGAAGAGGGTCGTTGAACATTATCGCGCTCCGACACGAACGAGAATGAAGCATATTCTTGAGCCCAGCTGGCAGTAGAGGAAGCAGCGAAAGCCATGAAGAGCTCTCCGGGAGGGATAGGATAGATCGTTTTGTTCCATCAGCCAGCTCCCACACCTCGGTACGCATTAGTTCGATGCAGAGCGCAGGGAAGTTGGCACAGCGCTCAGCGATGACTGATGGAAGGAAACGAACAATCAGGCGGCGAGCGGTCTTCGAGCCCTCCACAGAAGAACTCGTCAGGTCGTAGACGATGCCCCAGGCAAGGAAATGTCTTCTGTATTGCTGGAAGAGGCCGTACTCCTGCGCCGAGATTTCGAAGACAACAGATCGGCCTTTAGCTGTGTTTGTTGCAAGGCAGGTCGTTGCAATGCTAGTGTTCCCTTTGGAGTCTTGAATGCACAATTGATCAAACAGCGACTCGAGGATGACTCGCTCGGAAGCAGCATGTTGATCGATCAAAATGAGGATTTCGCCACGAGCTGGCAAGTCGGGTATCTTGCAGAGGACGAACTTTTGATCCACCTGCCCGACAGTCTTTGCATGCTTCAAAGCTGCTTTTGACAGCTTAATTTCGGTGCTGGATGGAATACCGGCTCGAAGTTGTGTATGCAAACGAACTATGCCGTCCTCGTCTACTTCAAGGACACCTGGGCCTTCTGCTGATGCCATAGGGATTGGTTCTTCGACCTGGGCGGCAAACACGGGATTCTTCCATTCTCTCAGAAAGCCTTGAAGCCACTTCTCCTGAGCTGGCTGCTGCACATTTTCATCAGCACCAAGAGCTTTGCGTCTATCCAGACTCAACGGCTTGCCAGCAGACGAAAGAGATATATCTATGCCAGCGCGGCTCCTCGAGGTTCTGCTCAGATCAGACATATCTCTTTGCTCGGACGTGAAAGGGAGTACAACTCCAGTGCGGCAATTTACTCTGTACATCTGTCCATTGACAGGATCGGTCCAAGACATCACTCCATCTTCGCCAGATCCTTGGGCAGTGGTACGAGAATCGGCAGATATGTCCTGTGTCGTCTCTGCTGCCAGCATTTCGACATCATCGAGACTACCAAAATCTTCGCTTGGAAGCGCCGCGTCATTTGTTCGTGACTGTTTCTCAAACGGATCTGATACTGAGCGGCGCGTGAGGTCTGCGCAAGAGGCTAGAATTGTGTCCCAGGAATGCGACTCTGCGGCATGTGGGATATTAGGCACATCTCCTTTCAGCAGCGTGTCTTGCTCTCCTGGTAGTGACTCAGCTGGCTTGCGTATGGTTGTGGTACCGGTGGCTGTCTGTTTTTCCGCTGATATCGGCGTTTGCGTTGTTCTGGTAGGTTGACGATGATTCCCGCCGCGGATTCTGCTTAGTCTCAGCAAATCTTGTTCTGGTCCCACTGTTACGACCGCTCTCGATGCAGGTCGGCTGGATGAATGCAGAGAAGCTCCTCGATCCTGAAGTCCCATCGCATCCGCATCATGTTCATCTTCAGCTTGCTCTGCTGGGTAATTCTCAGCTGCACGAGCACGCGAGACTCCCGGCGGCGACTTCGTTGTTGAAGAATTGTATGATCTTGCCACCGGCGTGATTTGCTTGTTGTTCAACGTCCTGCTGCGTTTGCTGGGTCTGAAGTGGTTGCGCTCAAGCCAGGCGACTGAAGCCGCCTCTAAAACATCGGTAATTGTATTCAAAGACCTGTCATTCAGTCTGTCGAGCTTGGAAGACACTTGGCCGACGCTTTTCAGTTGCAGCTGTAAACAGAACATCGGATAGCGATCAAGACTCTTGCGCGAGGTGAGTCCTGTCATGGGGTGACTTCCTTTGAGACGTGGCGAATCTTCGAAGCTCCTCTCCTCACTCATACCAAAGCTACTGTTGTAGAATGCCTTGTTCACCACCTCGTACAGCTCATTTTGTCCTGCATGAGCACCGCAAGGTGACACACCCAAAGCTATGAACTGGCACTGCTTGCTGGGAACAGGGTCAAGGCAGACCAATCCTTTCAGAGACACTGCGGATGTGGACGCCGATAAAGGAATCCAACGGGACGATGAAGGTGGAGTCGCAAGACCGGATTGGACTAATACCGGAAGAGTGTCACGCACATCATACTTTGGCGCAGAACTTCCGAGTTGGTTGAGGTTTCTCCTGGTAAGGGACGAGAACGCAGAAGACTGAGCTGAGACATACATTGAGTGAGAACTGTCGTCCGTCTCTCGCAATCGCACAGAGCAGGGCTGAGGCCAAGCTAGAAGGAGAGCGACGATACCGTGTTTGAGTTCATTCCAGGACTTCTCGCCATCGACGCCATTCAATGAAGTGATGGCTCGCTGTTTGACACGGACAGGCATATTTCCAAATAAGTCTCTGACGGTGACATTTGTGCCGCAATTCGAGGTTCTGAAATCATCGATGTCTCGGGCTTGACGAGCAAGGACTTTTCCCTGGTGAATGGTCAGAGACCCCGAGTCCGTGCTGTTCGTATACGTCGACGTGATGGTCAGCATTGACATAGCAGAAAGCTCGGAAAGGAAAGTGCCAGTGGAGCCGTGCGTTTCACCGGCCTTGCTCGCCGAATTCCCAGTTGGCGCTCGCTTGGAAGTGCAATACATGCGGCAGAGACCGCCATTCTCGGAGAACTCTCCCGCAGGGATCCCAGCGCCATTGTCGTCGACAGTACATCCACCACGTTTCCAATCGACGGTGATTTCGACTTTAGTAGCCCCACCATCCAGACTATTCTCCAGTAAGGACCAGATGACGCCTTGAAGAGAGGTGATGTGTTTGGAGGAGTGTATTTGAGATATGGCTTTCGCGGAAAGCGGTTGAATCCTGGGCTGCGCCATTCCAGAGTCTCTCCTGCGCAGTCTGTCGCTTACGGTGGTACTCTCTTCTTCTTCTTCGTTCGAGGTAGCTGTAGGTGTTCGTCCAGCATGTTGTTCGCTCTGTTTTGTGGCGAGACGCGGGCAAGAAGCCACGGTCAAGAATCCCAAACGACTTGACAAGGACAAGATGATTAGACAAGTAAGTATTGATGCTTTTGCCGGTTGTCCCTGATCAGGTGCCGAACGTCGAAGATGGAGAAAGGTTGAAGGAAGTAGCGCGGCTCTTCCCCGAGCCACCTTACGTCATCAATCGCATGAGGTAACTCAGGCCCCGTCTACTTCGGAGGGATTCTGCGAGTTCCAGGTTATCGCACGGTCCTTTTCTGCATAATTAAATAAGTTAGCGAATATCCCCTACCTATCTATTTTATAATCCGCTCCTCTTATAGGTCCTTAGATTATAGGTTTTTTACTATATAGTAGACCTAAATAGGTAGCTATAGGTAATAACCTAAGAACCTACTTTTCTAAGGGTTTTCAGGTTATCGTATAGACTAGTTCGTCTCGACTTCGCGTCTCTTTTACTACCTCTTATATATATATATATATAAGAGCTCTAGCTAGTAGTATTTACTAGAAACTATAGACTAACTCGCCTTACTCTTACTCGTAATTGCTAGCGTATCGATTATAGCCGTTTAGCCTATTATTCGTAGGCTAAACAACCGAGAGAAAAGATAGAGTTCTTCTAGTCGAAGAGAGATTTAAATAGAGCCGAATCGAGCGTAAAAGGAGGTATATAAGTACCTTTATAGAACTAAGCGATACTATTATAATAAGACGCGAATAAAGTAGTCGGTACTAATAGCCTTTATAAAAGAGCTAGTCGATAAGGGCGAATTAAATATAGATAGTAAGAATAAGATACCTATCGACAAGTAGGTATTAATCTTCTTAGATTTTATCGCTTAGAATAAGTCGATTCGAGCGCTCTATAGCGACTATTCGTACGTAAACCGGACACTATAAAGGATAATAAAAGATATTAGTAAGGTAGTATATTATTTATCGAGCGTATATATTAAGCTACTAGAGCCTTATAAGGTCTATAAAAAGCTCGCTAACGATAGCCGTTACTAGCTATTCTGTAGTACTATTAGAGTACTAGATAGTATCTATATCTATATAGCTATTACTAAGTAAGAGTAGAGTACCTAGCGCTATCGTAAAGGCTTTTTACTTAGAACGTAATAGTAGCGTACGACTTCGACTATCGATTCTAGTATATTCTTATCGAATTCGAAGGCTCTACGATAGATAGTATAGTATTAAGGAAGGTATTCTATAATAGCTTTTACGTACTAAAAGGCTACTATTACCTAGCCGATAGCGGCTACTTATACCGAGATAAGCGTCTACTTATACTATATTAAAAGACAAGGTATTACCTTCGAGAGTAGGCTATAGCTAGTAGGCGTCCGGATACGCTAGAAGAGCTCTTTAATCTACGGTATACGTAGCTACGTAACTATATCGAGCGGATCTTTAGTAATATAAAGAAGTACTTTCGAATCGTAGCGGAAGAGCTATACGTTACGGAACCGTATACGTAATCGCCCCTAACTACGTAATCGCCTAGCCGCCCGCTAGCTACCCGCTAGCTACCCGCTAATCCTACTACGCCGGCTACTCGTCTAGCGAGTAGCTAGGGGCGGCGGTTAGGGCTACTACGGGGCGGCTACTTCCCGATCGGGAAATAGCTAGAGACAAAGTTCTTCTTCGTAAAAAATACTATATT